GACAGACAGGTTACAGACAGACAGGTTACAGACTAGAGACAGACAGGTTACAGACAGACAGGTTACAGACAGACAGGTTACAGACAGACAGACAGGCTACAGACAGACAGGTTAGAGACAGACAGGTTACAGACAGACAGGTTACAGACTAGAGACAGACAGGTTACAGACAGACAGGTCACAGGTCATGAGATCTATTCTTCCACACGGTGTGTTCTTCAGCTCTGAGGTGTGTATATTTTGTCCCTCCTGACTTGCCGTAGATTTACAGCTGGTTGGTGTTCAGAGCTACAGTAGCTTCAGAAAACAAGATGTCTGGATGAAAACAAAGGACTCTGTAATGTTCCAGCTGACTCAGCAGGACTTGAAGACACCAGAGACCAGGAGACTTTGGAAACACCTGGTCCAGGAAATGAAGCAGGTTTAACGAGCAGCTCGTTAGCAGCTCAGACTGTTAAACATCTGACTGACCTGTTCTCCATCTTTAAATGTCTTAAAGACCACTTTCTAAATAAATCTTTTAGTTTTGTTACTAATATTTTTATTTTTAAACTTTAGGAAACATCTTAATGTAATCCAGTGATGAAATGTTGTAGTTTTAATAAAGTTTAAGTAACAAGTTTTACTAAGTTATATAAAATATAAGTAACAAGTTTTACTAAGTTAAATAAGAGAAGCTAACAGAAGAGCTGTGGGCAGAAGTATTTTATATTAGCTCACCTCTGCTCCTGCAGCCTTATTCCATCATTTCTTATCAAAATAATTATTATTAATTAAATTAATCATGTAACAACACTGCCACCTGCTGTTCCTTTTTACTTAAAAACAGATTCAACTGTTTAAACGTGTCTTTATGGTGAAGAGAGAAATAATGTTTTTGTTTTTAGAGTTGAACAGTTTTCATGACTTCAGAGCAGACAGAACCAATCAGAACCCTGATGAAAGACTTGACCATGATACCAGCCCTGATGGACACAGACTATCAGAACCGAGCAGAACCGGACCTTCACTTTTCCCTCTTCCAGCTGAGCCTGTCTGAAGCGAGCCAGAGCCGTCCTGAAAGACGAAGCAGAGGGACACAGTAACCCAGGAGAACAACAAGATCCACATGGTTCTGTGTGGTTCTACTGTGGTCCACAGATATTCATTATTTTGTCCAGGACAGATGACCCAACAGAACCATCTGGGTTTATTGGAACTGGATCAGTGGTTCCAGGTGGACCTGGACCTGGTCCTCGTTGGACAGAAATCATCAGTAGATTATGAGATCAAGTCTCAGTGATGTGGTTCTGAGGTGACCCAGATCACATCAGGTTAAAGTGAACAGAACCCACAGCAGAACCCAGAACAGTCCAACAGAACCACCATGCTTCTGAATCCAGATGTGGAACAGGAAGTACTTACATGGCCTTCTCAGCGTTCCTCGCCTGTAAAACAAGAACATCAGTCAGAAGATCGGTTGATTCATCCATCCAACATCCATCCATCATCCAACCATCATCCATCATTTATCCATCCATCATCCATCATACATCATCATCCATCCATCCATCATCCATCCATCCATCCATCCACCATCCATCCATCATACATCATCATCCATCCATCCATCATCCATCCATCATACATCATCATCCATCCATCCATCATCCATCATCCATCATCCATCCATCCATCATCCATCCATCCATCATCCATCATCCATCCATCCATCATCCATCCAGACCAACTTCACAGCTCTATGAGTCAAACTGAAGTTAGATTCTGATTCAGCAGCTCAGTAAAGGTTGTTCTACTAAATATTTAAAATCTGGATCCTCTAAGACCAACTCCAGACCAAACTACTGGACCAGGACCAAACTACTGGACCAGGACCAAACTACTGGACCAGGACAGCTGAACCTTAACATCATAACTCCAGTTCAGACAAACTTCTGCAGCTGTTTCTGGTTTAATTCTCTGAATTTTACACTTTTTCCCAAAGATTTAACCTTGATACTTATAATAATTAACCTTTGATATGTTTACTTCGTTCCATCATGAGTAAAATATGGGTTTATGACATTTTCGTATCATTAAATCTTGTTTTATTTACATTTTCCATGATGTTATTGTGATTATAGAAGCAGATACTTTAAACTAACTGTGTTTTAAACTTTCTTTCTTTACGCATAAACAAGTTTGAGAAGTTTAAATTTAGATTTTTAACTAAAACCAATCAAAGAAGGTCTTGACTGTGGGTTTACTGGAACATTCCACTGAACCAGAAGCTTTAGTGAGTAAAAACTGCGCTACACCAAACTCCATTCAAAAAACTGCTAAATTAACTCCGACTGTAACGGAATCAAACCGCTTTTTTTCTCCGGAAATTTTTAGATTTTTATTGTTTCTGCAGCTGAAAGTTAAACGACTAAACTTTGTAGATAAAAAGGTTTAATGTCTCACCATTTCTGCAGCTTTTATCCACAAATTATCTGCCTGAAACAAGAAAACCGGACTCTAACCAACAGCACGCGATGCAGCAACAGGAAGTACGTCATCAGCTTCTGTTTCCGCCTTCTGCGCAGCACAAGGATATAGACGAATGAATGAATGAATGAATGAATGAATGAATGAATGAATGAATGAATGAATGAATGAATGAATGAATAAATAAATAACAGAGAACCAGTTTCGGCTTCTGTTATCATTTTGTTGATCACCAAATAACATTAGCTACAATGATCAAATATTATAAATGTCAAATAACCAGAACTATTGTTCAGTCTTACATATAAAAAGGTAATCCCATCAAAACTTCATAGATTAATGTAACAAATAAAGGTGTTGTGGAATACTTATTTTCTGTATCACCTGGACACTGACCACTTGTTCCTGTTTCCTGAAGATATGAACACTTGTTCATATCTTGTGATATCCTTCCGGACGTCAGCATCAAGTTGACCTATTTCCGTGTATCAGGATGAGGCAGGTTATGATTCGTTGTTCATTATCATATGGCGATAACTGACAGTATAACATTGCTTGCCCGGCCTATGACAGCGGGGCCCACATCTTACAGACTTCGTGATTGTCTTCTGTTCCATGTCTGCCCATCAATAAATGACTTTATAAATCATACCCGCAAGACTTGTCTTTTAACACCCTTTTCGCCGTGTTTCTGACCATCTTTGCCGCGACAAAAGGCACAGTCTCTTGCTCCAAAGCTGCATGGAGTGGTGACCCCCATCCAACATGGCGGCGCTGCGCGAGGCCATTCAGCCCGCCATGAGGAGAACTCTACTTATTTATTTTATGTCTATGATAGGTTCTACCATTGATTTATCAATTGACTCTACAGCCCCCTACCGGAAATGCAAATCCCTAAAGTAAAGTAAAGTAAAGCAACATAAAGTAAAGTAAAGTAAAAGTAAAGTAAAGTAAAGTAACGTAAAGTAAAGTAAAGTAAAGATTTTTGAACAAACTTAGAGGCTCTTGGAGCTGATGAAACTGTTCCTGCTGTCAGTAATTTTCAGTTTTTTAATTTTCCTGCTGTCTTCAGATAATTCAGTTCATTTTATCTTGAGAAATAAATTTGTTAAAATAAGTTGATCATTAGGAGACAGTGAATGGTTCTTGTGTTGGACCCAGTTTGATCATTTGGACCTCCTGTTCTGACTCTGAAATGATGTAAAACAATAAAAGGCCAGTTGTGAAGGACTGCACAATGGGGCGGCCATGTTTCCATCATGGCCGCCCCAGTTGATCCTTCCCGTGTGTCTAATTTCAGGAGCTGCAGGTCTCTAACCTGTGTTCAGGCAGATTCAGTCACAGGGCTGACAGGAAACAGTTTGAACTTGGACTTTCAAAATAAAGCTCTGGGATACTCTTAAAAAAAGAGACTGGAATAGCTCTGATTCAGACAGCTGGCTCACTGGTTTTACTGGTGACTAATTACTGAGTGATGGAAGGGTCAAAGGTCAGTGTGGGACAATCATCTACTCACCTGAGCACCTGGAGGAAATCTGCTCCGACACAAAACAACAACTTCCTGTTTCTGACTGAAGGAATAATTAAGAAAAAAAACGTTTTTGTGAAACTTAAAGAAAAGATTGTTTTTAATAAACTGGAAGCTTTTTCACATCTCAGGTGAGTGAGTCCAACAGGTGAAGACAAAACCGTCTCCTGATTGATCCGTTCAGGTTATCACCATTAGACTGGATGGTGTTGAGGAGGGACACGATGGTGTTGAGGAGGGACACGATGGTGTTGAGGAGGGACACGATGGTGTTGAGGA